CCGGGATCATGACCTGAGCCGAAGGCAGTCGCTTAACCGACTGAGCCACCCAGGTGCCCTGTTTTTTTTTCCAATTAAGCTATAATTCATGTAACAAAACATTTACCATTTTAAAGTATACAGTTCAGTGGGTTTTAGTACATTCACCATGTTGTGCAAACGTCACCATGACCTCGTTCCGGAGCATTTTCATCCCGCAAGAAAGGAACCCCATGACCATTAGCACTTCTTCCCTCATTCTCCCGCTTCTCATTACCCCCCAACCAGTGATCTGCTTTTCTGTCTCTGTGGATTTGCCTCTTCTGAACATTTCACCTAAAAGGAATCATGTGATACTTGGCCTTTTGTGTCTGACTTTTTTTTTTTTAAGATTTTATTTATTTATTTGAGAGAGAGCACATGAGAGGGGGGAGGGTCAGAGGGAGAAGCAGACTCCCTGCTGAGCAGGGAGCCCGATGCGGGACCCGATCCAGGGACTTCAGGATCATGACCTGACCTGAGCCGAAGGCAGTCGCTTAACCAACTGAGCCACCCAGGCGTCCTGCGTCTGGCTTCTTTCACTCAGCTTCATGTTTTTGAGGATTATCCATGCTCTAACATGTATCAGGTCGACATTCCTTTTTATTGCCACATAATATTTCTTTTTTTTTTAAGATTTTATTTATTTGTTTGACAGAGAGAAAGCACAAGCACAAACGGAGGGAGCAGCAGGCAGAGGCAGAGGGAGAAGCAGGCTCCCCACTGAGCAGGGAGCCCGATGCGGGGCTCGATCCCAGGACCCTGGGATCATGACCTGAGCCGAAGGCAGACACTTCACTGACTGAGCCACTCAGGTGCCCCTGCCATATAGTATTTCCATAGTGTGGACGCGGCACATTTTGTTTGTTCATTCATCACTTGATGGACCTTGAGTTGGTTCCACTTTTCGGCTCTCATGAATAATGCACACGTTTTTGTAAGAACATCGTGTTTCCAGTTCCCTGGGCTATGTTGCTGGGTCATAGGGTAACTGCGTTTCACCTTCTCAAAGAGTGCCAGACTGGGTTCCACAGCAGTGGCGCCGGGTCACACGGCCCCCAGCAGCATGCGAGGGTTCCAGGGGCTCCCAACACTCAGCTGCATTTGTCATCATCCAGTTTGCGGTTGTAGGGGCCCCAGTGGCCGTGAGCCCGGATGGCGGAAGATTTCCCGCCGACGAGGGCTTTGGTTTCGACAGAGGAGTAAGCGGAAGCAGGGGCCAGTGAGCAAGGACTGTGCCCGGTGCCAGGGTGGCGGCGAGGAGGGTGGACAGAAGCGGTGGGCTTCAGGCCATGGTCCGAAGGCGGCCCAGAGAGGATTTGCAAACACACTGGATGGCCGGGCTGAGGAAGGAAGGTGCATCAAGGATGCTCCTAGGTGTGGGCGCCTGGGTGGCTCAGTCGGTTTAGCAGCTGCCTTCGGCTCAGGTCACGATCCCAGGACCCTGGGATCGAGCCCTGCATCGGGCTCCCTGCTCGGCAGAGAGCCTGCTTCTCCCTCTCCCTCTGCCTGCCTGCCACTCCCCCTGCTTGTGCTCTCTCTCTCTCTCTTTCTCTGTGTCAAATAAATAAATAAAATCTTAAAAAAAAAAAAAAAAAAAAAAAAGGATGCGCCCAGGTGTCTGGACTGAGCAACGGACAATGGGGTTTCCCCTTCCTGAGTTGGAGAAGCCCATGGTGGAGGGTCTGTTCGTCGGGTTTTGGGTGCCTGTCACCGGTGGGCCGGGGCCAGCCCCGTTTTGGCTCTCTGGCATGCCCAGCTGGGAAGCTGGGATTGGCACTTGGGGAGATTGATGTAAGAAAGGAGATGCCATGATTCACGTGTGTTAAAAATGCCCACCGGCCAGCCGTGCTCTGAATGTCACTCCAGGAGAGCCATTTGCCTTCCCCTCGGAGTGGGACAGTTTATGCCCAGGGAGGTGCACAGGAGGGCAAGGGCATTCATTTCGCTGATGGGCTGGTGAACAAGGCGTGTGGGCTGCCGCCTGCAGGACTCTCATTTCTGAGGCCACTTAGGGGATTATCTTGAGAGAAAATTGTCCTGTGAATGATTTGTGGGCATGATGGGTTGGCTAATCCTGAGCTCCTTCCTGTTGGTTGGGAATGTCTCCGGGCTCGTTTCTCCTTAGCCGGCCAGTCAGCAAGTGCTTTCTCGGCTCTCTACTGCACTGGGGCCCTGCCCCAGGATGGGGAAGAGATGGGGGACGGAGACTGTAGCTGACAGGCAGCAATAAAGGGGACACCCCCCCCCCCAAAGAGCCTCTTCGTAGTTATAAACTTCAGCTCTTCAGAGTGCACAGGGTCAAATCTGGCTTCCGAGTTTATTAGCTGGCTGACCTTGAGCGAGTGACTTAAGCTCTCTGGCCCTCTGTTTCTCAATTCATAAAAAGGGGGAAATTATAGCCCCTACTATGTAGAGGTCTTGTGAGAATCAAATGAAATAATCCCTTTATTAGTGATTAGCCATTGTTTTTATTATCTAGGGAGAGAGATACATAAAGCAACCACCTATTATGCACCTACTGTGTGTCAGCCCTCTGTCCACTGATTTGACCGCATTCATTATGTGAGGTTAACCTTCTAACAACCTGCCAGACCGGTGTGGCGACACTGTCACAGGGGAGCCGACTGAAATTCAGACCCTTGAATGAAGGTCCCATGGTTGGCAAAAGAGAGGATGGGATTTGAACCTGGGACTGACTAGCCTCCTTCTCGAACCCGCCAGGGTAGGGGGAGATGTGCTTCTTCTGAGCAAAGAGCTTCAGGCCCCGCCGGGGAAGGAGGCGGCCTGTCCAGCTGGGGCGAGGGCATCCGTGTCCCTCTGCAGGTGTTGCCTTCCTCGGCCGGGTCTGGGGTGTCTGCACCTGCACTCTGGGGGGGGAGCCTCCCCCGCCCATCTGTGCCCTTCTCCCGCTTCATCCCCTCCCTCTGCGAGCAGAAGGAAGCGACCAACCTTCCTGTCTTCCATCTCTCTGGCCTCTTGTCTCCTTCTCTCCTTAGCGCATTAAGGGCTTCTTTTCCTGTGATCTTACTTTTTGGGGGGCGGAGAGAGCGTCCTGTGTGTCTCTCAGTCCTCCCTCCGCTGTGGTCCCCTTCCTTGTCAAGCCTCCCCCGTGCAGGCACAGAAATAGTCCCAGCTGCGAGATGAAGGTTCCAGAGTTTAAAATTGCAACTCGGTACTATTTTTACTCCAGCCAGAAAGATTTTTTTTTTTTTTTTTTGCACAGCCGTTGATTTTGTGGTGTTAGCAACGAGGGCATCACCCTCTGTCCCGGACAAGCAGGCAATAAGCGGAGGCATCAGGTGTCGGGGCACAGGTACCAGGCCTGCCCAGAAATGTCTGGTGTTGCCTCCCTGGAGCAGAACCGTCTGGCCTGGGGAAGCCCGAGCAAGTGGCTCATGTTCTCGGCAACTTTCTTGCTAGATGCCTGGTCATTACAGAAACAAAACCAAACCAAAAAGGGGTATTTTAGAAGTCATGCACACGGTACATACTTGAGAGGGGGGAGAAAAAGGTTCAAACTAGTTTTTGCACAAGTGATTTAAATGGGGTTGTAAACTGGCAGACCCTTGCACGGTCATGTTTGGCTTGGCCCGTGCTTGGCAGGACATGAATCCATGCTACCATTTAAAAATTGGGACATTTTCCATAACATTAAAATTTCTGGCTTCTCTCGAAAAATGGAAGGCTCTGGCAGCCCCGGGTCTGTGTTTACTGATGGCTGCTAGATGTTCTAGATTTGGGCAAGCACTTTTCAGATCGCCGCAAAGCCCCGGCAGCCTGCTTTACTCCTTGATGTCACTCATGACGTCACTGCCCAGCCCTGGTCCCTCGAGGTTTGAACCCTTCAGATAACATAAAGCACTCGAGTCCCCCTTGTCAGACCCTGTTCCCCAATTCCTACTCTCCAGGGCCAAGGAAGCACCATTAATAGGTTGCCAGATAAACTACAGGATGCCCAGTTCAATTTGAATTTCAGATTGAGTGATCATTTAGTGTAAGTACATCCCCTAACTATTAGCAGTTTGGTCTGTATGGTTCCAGGCCTTTCTGGTAAACCACGTACGTCCTTCGTGTGTTGGTACAAGGATGGGTTTCTATTTCTGCCTCTTCCGCATCTTGTGTTAACTCTCCGTGGTGTTTGTTAGGGGGTGTTTCTCACGGTTTGTAAGAGCTTTGAGGCTATGGACTCAAGCCCAGTGGGAATCCTGGCCCCACCACTTGCTAGCTGTGTGACCTCGAGCAGGTTTACCTCACCCCTGAGCCTCAGTTTCCTCATCCGAACAATGGGATGATAAGGATAGCTTTGTCCTGTTTCCTGCTAGTTTTCATTCATCTCCTCGCTTGTGAAATCTGCACGGAGTGGATGGGCCATGGTGGCTTTAACCAGGCCTCTGTCCACAGGCGTCAAGATCGTGGACAGCTTATCACGATTTTAAATGAGGCTAGGAGAGGTTTTGAAAAGGTAAAGGAGGTCTGAAGGGAACTGGGCAGATAATCCTAAGATTTAGTTTGCTTTAAAAAAAAACACACACACACAAAAAAAAACCAGTGAAGGGCGTTTGTCTCCCTGGAAACCACTTGCTAATCTCCAGGATATTGTCTCTTTTCAGGCGAAGGAGGTGGAGGAGACCATTGAGGGGATGCTCCTCAGGCTGGAAGAGTTCTGCAGCCTGACTGACATGGTGAGTGTCTGCCTGGGAGGCGTGGATTTAGGCCCAGGCCAGACTCCAGGCCCTTCCTGGAGTTTTCTGGGGAAGCCATTTTGGTGGTGATTTAGCAACCAGAAAGAATGGGGCAGCGGCCAGCAGTGAGGGGGAAACCACGCGCACACTCCCTCTCACACTCTCTCTCACACTGTCTCTCACACTGTCTCTCACTCTCACTCTCTCTCTCTTTCTCTTTCTCTCTTGCGCGCGCGCTCACGCGCGCGCTCTCTCAACACCAAGGCTGCCTGAGGCGGCCATCTTGATAACGCCCATCCCCCCCCATGGCTCTTATTCCACCGAGGAGCCCGGAGTGGGCCACCAGGTGGCACTCTCGGGCACCGATGCGGGGAGCCGTTCAGCGGGGATGCTAAGACTATATTTAACTTCCCTCGGCTCCGCGCGGTCCGCCAGGCAAACATGGAGACGGCCAGGAAATAGGCTTTAGGCCTGCAAGGCCTAGAGGAGCCTCTGGCCCGGGCTGTAGCCCGAGGCAGGGTTGGGCATCAGATTCCTTGCCGAATCCTTTTGTTCTCTCAGCTTTTGCCTCCCACTCTGTTCTGTTGGATCAAATCCCTTTGGCTGGGTGAAGAAGATGGAAGATGGTGCCTTAGGCCCAAAAGATAAGGTCTCCACTCCAAATTCTGTAAAAAAAAAAAAAAAAATCTCTTCTAGATCCTTGTGTCCCCAGGACTGTAGCCAGCCAGGTGTGGGGCCCTGAGGAGCCATGATAGAATTTTCTGGAAGCTCCCAGCAGCCTGGGTTTAAGGCTTCTGCCGGAAGACCCAAAGGGTAGAGCTCCATATTGTGATCAGGCCCTGCCTCTCCCTGGAGCAGAGGAAGCCCGCTGGGCCCAGTGGGGTAGATTTGTGCCCCTGTGAAGCACGTGTCTGGAGAAGTGTTTGTGAGAGCCCCAGGGTAAAACACAAACAGCAGACTGGACGTTTGTTGAACACCTACTTGGTGCCAGACACGGTGTGAAGTGTGATGTCCGTATCACCCCCTTTCTCCTTGAAGCAGCACAAAGCGATGGGCACCATGTCATCCCCACTCATTCAACAGACCTACCTTGTGCCATCCTCTGGGGACACAACAGTGAACAAGACAGAAATGTCCCCAAGAGGACATGTATATGTTTTTCTCTTGAGAACCAATTTTCTAGTTTGGGTGTGGGTCCAGGTGGGAGCTGGGAATGAGACAGACTTTGAACAGCCCGGATAGTCCTTTCTTCATCACCAGCCATTGGGCACCTTCCCTGACTGGGCGCCATGGTGAGCCTGAGGGTGCAAAGAGAGTCAGCTTTGTCTCCGTTCCCCCTGCTGCGGGAGCCCAATGTGTGTGACCAGGGCTGTCATCCAGTGTTGAAGCACCAGCCTGAAGGTGTATTCAACGTGCAAAGGGAGACTGCAGAGGTTTTGAAGAGGGAGAGAGGGTCTGGAAGGAACTGGGCCCATGATCCTAAGTCTTCATTTGCTTAAAAAAAAAAAAAAAAAAAAATGAAGAGCAGAGGCGTTAAATTCTGCCTGGGAAATTGGGAAGGCTTTGCAGAACAGGTGGTGATTAATTTGGGGCTTGAAGAAGGAACAGAAATAATTCAGCCGCTGGGGAGGGTAAGCGTCCAGACAGAGGCACCAACCCATGGGTATGGTGTGCTGGGCACAGTGTGGACCCTGGGGGCCCACAGGCAGGGGGCGGATTTGGAAGATGGGTGGACTGGTGACCCAGGGACACTCTGTTCTCAAGTTCAGCCATCCTCCTCCTTGAAAGGAGACCCATTATCTGCCTGAGGGGAGAGCTTGGGGCAGGAGTCAGCCTAGATCGGGGAGAGGTGCCCGGCCACCCTGCCTTAGAAATTGCCAAGGCTTCCCGGGGTGGGGAGCCTGTGTGTGTGTCACCTGGAGTCCAAGGGGTCAGGCAGCGCTGACAAGGCCCTCCCCGAACCAGAAGCCTGGCGATGCATTTATACAAAGATTTTAAGACTGAGATCACGCACATGACCCATGGACCCAGTCCCGCCTGCAGATATGTTGGATGTTTTTGGAAGGAAAAGAAAAAGGAATTTGCTGCTGACATTTATAGAATGTCATGCAAAAAAATCAGGATTTCTGGCTTCTTTTGGAAGAGCAAAGATCTGGCTCCCCTGGGGTGCATGGGCCCACCTGGCCAGCATCGGCCAGAGTGGTGTCGTGGTCACCCCACTGTGGACAGCGCGTGAGCTCTCCAGCGGTCGCCGTCCACTGCTCCTGTGGGGGCTCCCCGACTCCAGGGCCACCTGCCAGGTACATCCGTCACGTGCGCGTGTGTTTTATGGCAGAGTGTGTTTCTCTGTACTTTGGGCCCTACTGAAAGCAGGCAAATGAACTGAGACCAAGAGGGTCCTGTGTTTCAAGAAAGGGAACAGAGTGGGTTTCCCATGGGGGAGAAGACCATTTCATGAGTGTGTATGTAAATGAGAATGTGTCTGGTACGATGCTTTTGTGGCCCCTGCAACAGTGCTCAGTGCTGACACCGTTTAGATTCTGGAAGTCCTCCTGCCCCAACAGCTGAGGCTCAGTTTACCTGGTGTGTCTGTGCACGTGGCACAGAGAGAGGCGTCCAGCTCTCAGCCTTGGCTTGGAACCTCCTTTTCTCGCTAGATCCAAGCTACGGATGAATGGGGACCTCTGGGGAGCAGGTGATGTCACACCATGGACATTGTCCCCTGGGTCCCTGCATTGGCCTTTGGAAACACTTGATCAAGTTAGAGGTCTGAGAGAGGCCAGGCTCCCTGGTACACAGTCCAGAGAGAAGCCGCTCCATTTCCGATCAAATCAGGCTGTGAGAAACGAGAGTCCGGCTTCCTCTCTGATGCATTAACTCCACGGCCAGCCTGTCCTTGATCGCTCTATGTGACTGGAATTCACAACCCTGCGCCTGCCTCCTGTTTAGACCTTAGATATAATGCTGGTAGCTGCCACTGTGAGCTCTGACTCTTCCTGCTGGGGGGCCTTGAGCACAGCACGTCCTCTCTCTGTACCTTTCTTTTCTCTTCTGTAAAATGGACCTAATGGTCCTGATTGTCTATGGCTGCATCAAACTACCCCAGAACGTAGAGGTGTGTGTTATGTGGGCCAGGGCAGGGCCCAGAGGGGACGGTTCATCTGAGCCGCATGCCACCCGCTGGGGCAGGGATGTCCAGGGTGGCTCCTTCTCCCCCTTGTCTGACGTCTGGGCTGGGAGCGCTGGGCGACCGGGGACTGGTTAGTGTAACTTCTCCCCCATGCGGCCTCTCCTCGGGGCTGGCTTGGCTTCTGTAGCGTGGCGTCTGGCCTCCCGAAGCAAGCATTCCAACAGAGGGGAAGTAGAAGCCGCCAGGTCTCTGGAGGGTTGGGTATGGAAACTGACAGTGTCGCTTCTGTCATATGTTACCGGTCACCACAGTCTGCACACCCAGATCCAAGGGGAGAGGACACAGACCCCATGTGTCCATGGAAGGAATGGAAAGAATTTGTGGCCCTCTTTAATCTACTGCAAACGGTGTCCTTCTCCTAAGAGTTAGGGTGCAGACTTGATGAGGCGGGGAAGTACTCGTTACGTCCTCTAGACTGAGCCCGATGAAAAAGACCGACAGTAGCAAGTGTGGGCAAGCGTGGAGCAACAGAAACACTTGTTCACGTGCTGGCGGAAATGCCAAATGGCACAGCTGCCTTTGGAAACAGTGTGGCAGGTTCTTACAGAGTCACACATGCACTGACCCTACACCCCAGCAATTGCAAAGCGAGGTAGTTACCCAAGAGAGATGAAAATGAGAGTCCACAAAGACCCGTACACAGATGTTCCGGAGCAGCTTCATTCACGATGCCCCAAACCAGAAGCAACCGGAATGCAAAAGAATAAAGTGCCCCGAACATCATGAGTGCCGTCAGACACAGATTGCACAGTGGTGGAAGCCGGATCGTGGTTCGCTCTGGGAGGGCGGTTGTGACCGGAGCCTTCTGGGCTGATGGGATGTTCTACGCGGTGGCTGGGGTGGTGTTGACGCAGATGTGGACACACGTACACATTCATCCAGCTGCCCACTTAAGGCCCGAGCCCTTCACCGTCTGTCATTTCCTACATTCAAATAAAAATCATTGCTTAGCAGGGTGCCGGCTCTGTAGGAGGTGACCCATGCATGGTGGCTCGTCATTATGAAAGCACCAGAAGGTCGTGACACCAGTAAGGATTTGTACGGCCTCCAGCTCAGTGCCCTCTGGAGTTTGGGCACCTTGTCCGAGCCCTCAGAACCCCACCCCTGGCAGGGAGCAGACTCTTACTTCGCTCACATGGATGGAGAAAATTCTTTGTTGGCCTTGGTCCAGCACTTGCATTTGGCATTGGTGTGTGTTCTTGGGTCAAGTGCATTTGGCTCTCCTTCCTGGAGGCCCTGAATCATCCGGGACAGCCGTCTTTGCTCAGTGATAACCCCCACATCCGCTACCCAGACTTCTGGGCTCTGGAGGCCAGCTCCGGGGAGGTGGGTGACCAGGCTGGGGAAGGGTCTGCCAGGTCCTCAGGCCAATAAAGCTGGCTGGGCATTCGTCCTGGCAGAGGCTCAGCCAGCACTGATTCTTCACTGACCTCTCTTTGCCCAGATGCGTGTGACGTGATGGTGTGAAGTGGGTGTGAGGAAAGAAATGTGTTGCTTTCCTTTGACTTCCCTGTAAGAAGAGAAGTGCCCAGGGCTGCCACGGATGCCATGCTGGGGAGACTCTAGGGAGTAGTAGGGACTATGGTTAACCAACGGGGGCAGCGGTACCCAGCTCCAGCCGATTGCTGTCACAGGGGACACGGACTCAGGGCGGCCAGGTCCTCTGCTTTTTCACAAGAAGCTAGAAATCTGGGCTTCTCAGGGAAATATCCTTCGTTTCAGATCGTGGCACCTGGTGTGGGTGCGCTTTGGTTTTTATTCAGACGTGACGCAGGCTGACTCTGCAAGGCCTGGCAGAACACACGTGCAGACCTCTGGTGTCACCGGTGACCTCAGACCAACCTGGATAGGAACCTTCCATCTGCCACTTGGTAGCCTTGTGACCTTGGGCCGGCTCCATTTCGTTTTCCTGTCCTTGAGCATTGTCCTCAGCCATGAGAGGTTGAAGATAAAATGGTTTCTGATTCACAGGGCCCGTTCTCAGCGCGGGGCGAAGGTTCGTGGGGTGCTGGCCTTGTGCCCCTCCCACCCTTATTTTCTGCCTTCCAGTTCCCAGTTCATGGGGAACCACCAAAAGGTTTGGGGGCCTTCTCAGACCCCCAGGATTACTCTCTACCCCCGCCCCCCACGCACGTGCAGCCTGCCATCCGGGCAACTATAGCTAGCTCCCCATGGCCCGCAGCTCCAGTAAGTGGAGAGGAGTCTTCAGAGAGGGGCCTTCTTGCCCGGCCCCAGATGCTCTCTTCCTTGGCGTCCTTCGGAGCTAGAGGAAGGGAAGGGCGTGCTCCGTGACTCTCGTCTCTGCGGCCTTCCCTTCTCTCCGGTGTGTGGGTCACTAGGACCAGGGCCTCCTGATTTTCTTTGTTCTGACCCTATTTGTTTTTTTATTTTTTTACTTTTTTTACTTTTTTTACATCATTAGTTTTTTGTTTGTTTTTGTTTGTTTAAAGATTTTATTTATTTACTTATTTATTTTTAATAATTTTTTATTGTTATGTTAACCTATTCGTTTTTTTTTTTTTTTAGAAATTAGCAGAGAGAAAAGATTTGCGTTTGATCCACTGTGTTCCGACCCTGCTGTGAGTTATCTGCTCTTCGTTGAGTCACGGAACCTTGGTGATTTCTCCAGTTTAGCCTTGTTGGGGGGAGGGGATGGGTATGTCTCTAGAGGTTTGGCCTTGGGGGAAGAAAGGGAAAATATCGAGGGCTTTTTCCTGAGGGGGGGGGGCGCCGCAAAAAAGCGGGGGCCTACCGGGGCCAGGGGGGGGGTGGACCTGAGGGGGGGGGGGGGGGGGGGGGGGGGGTGAGGCATTAGGGAAGGGTGGTGACTGTGTCACCAGGGGGCTCATGCCCCACCTGGAGGCTGCAGCCCCTGCTCAGCTCAGCCCAGCCTACCGCGCCAGGGAGGCTTAGGCCCAGTGTTGCCCGAGGGGCTGACTTTTAAGACACCTTGTAAAGCCCTACTTAATCACTTGAGTATTTTAAAGCCATGTTTATACGTGTTGTTTTGCAATAGTTTTAGATTTACAGGAAGAGGGCAAGGACGGTACAGAGGGTTCCCCCACGCCCCTCAGCCGGCGTCCCCCCGGGGCGAGCGTCTGCCGTGGCCACAGTACCTTCGCCAGAACTGAGAAGCCAGCCCGGTGTGTTGCTCACTAAGCTCCACACTTGATTCTCCTTTTGCGGGCTCCCTACTAATGTCCTCTTTCTGGGCCAAGGTCCCACGGTGCATTCGGTTGTCCCGTCCACTTGGTCTTCTCCTCTGTGACGTTTTCGTCTTTCCTGCTTTTCGTGACCTTGGCAGTTTTGCGGAGCTCTGGTCAGGTATTTTGTAGGGGGTCCCTCCGCTTGGGTTTGTCTGATGGTTTTCTGGTGATGGGACGGGGGGTGGCGGTTTCTGGAGAGAATCCACAGAGGTGGCATCATGTCAGGGGCACTTGGCTCCCATGGTCCCCTTCCTGTAGCCTGTGTCCTGTCATCTCTTCCCGAGGGACTTTCATGGATTGCTCTTGTCCTTCGAGTTACGATCCCATATCGCCTTACGCATTCTGTTGTCCAGATTATTCCTGCTACGGCCATTTGGCTCTTTCCGGCTGGCCTCTGTGTAAACACTCCCTTACAGAGCGCTTGGCTGGCCCCATCGCTGGAGCAGGCGACTCTCAGTCTCAGGGTCGTGAGTTCGAGCCCCACGCTGGGCATAGAGATTACCTAAGGGAAAAAAAATGTTTAAAAACAAACAACCAACAAACACTCCCTTACGTTCTGGACCTAGAAGATTCTCCAGGGGCTTGTTTTCCCTGCCCCACCTCTAGAATCAGCCATTCTCCTAAGAACCTTGCTTGAATCTTAAAGTTGGAAATTAAGTCACATTAAAAAACTCAGACACTTTGCGAACCACACGAGGTGCACGTGCGGGCCCCATCCAGTGAGAGGTGGTCTTGTTTAACCCCCAAAGCATTCTTTCAAGAGAAGTACTGTATGGTCCCCATCTTATAGACGAGGAAACCGAGGCGCGGGGAGGTCAGGGCAGAGACGGAGGCCAGGCAGCACGATGCCAGATGCCACCCTCTCACGACCTGTCTGTGCCCTTGTGGGGCCAGGGCGTGAGACAAGAGTGTACCCAGGACAGTGACTTGGAGCCAGGTGCCCAGGGAGATGGCAGCACCGTGACCAGGGAGGGGGACCAGGAGGAAAGAGTTTGGTTTTGGACACTCAGGGAATGGGGTCGCTTCTGAGACCCAGGGCACATCCTGAAGGACAATGGGAGCAGAATTCCAGGAGAACCACCAGAAGCCTCATGTATTAGGCAGAAAAAGGAGGAAAAACAGATAGTTTTGCAGGCATTTTTGAAATTAAAATTTTGTGCTGAGTTGTCACTGCGTTAGTTATCTATTGTTGGTTAACACACTGTCCCAAAACTTTCGGTCCTCACTACTTGGCGGCGCCTGTGGGTCAGGCGTCCATGCGGCTGCGCTGGGTGGTCCCTATGGTCCTCCCGGCAAGGTGTTGCTTCAGCTGGGGCAGGACCGCATCCAGCGAAGCCAGCCGTTGTGTGCCTCAGTTCCTCTGTCCCTAGCGGGCCTCTCTGCCATGGCAATGGGCTGGTGATGGAGAGGCCCAGTGAGAAAGAAGATGGGGTGGGGGGGGAGAGGGAGCGTGCATGAGTGGGGGTGGAGAGAGAGAGAGAGAGAGAGAGAGAGAAGGCCAGCAAGCTGGGGGGACAGTCCTCTGGAACCCTGTCTCCAGACTGACTGCTCTCCTTTTGGCTGAGTTGTCTCTGTTAGAAGCGAATCGCCAGGGCCGGTTCAAGTCCAGGGGAGGGGATCCCACAGCAGGCATGAATACAGCGGGTGTGAATACAGCAGGTGTGAATACCAGGCATAGAGATTACCTAAGGGAAAAAAAATGTTTAAAAACAAACAACCAACAAACACTCCCTTACTCCCTCCAAAGCATTCTTTCAAGAGAAGTACTGTATGGTCCCCATCTTATAGACGAGGAAACCGAGGCGCGGGGAGGTCAAGGGCAGAGACGGAGGCCAGGCAGCATGATGGCAGATGCCACCCTCTCAGGACCTGTCTGTGCCCTTGTGGGGCCAGGGCGTGAGACAAGAGTGTACCCAGGACAGTGACTTGGAGCCAGGTGCCCAGGGAGAGTGGACCACCACCAGGAGGCAGTGGTCACTGGGGACCATGTCAGGAGCTGTGCCAAACACTTCTGCCAGACATTCCTCACCTGCATGCCAAGGAAGCAAGAAGCAAAGGCAGGCTCAGAGGAGTGCGGTGACTTGCCCAAGGTCACACAGCTCACAGTGGGTAGACCCGAACTCAGACACCAGGCTGAGTCCTGCGCCCAGCTCCTGGTGTTCCCACCCGTGTTCTGTGACTGTCCCCACACCCCCACTCCAGCATGGCTTTGGAGCTTAGCTGAAAACACAGATTCCCAGCCGACCCCAGACATAGAGGGGCCTGGGAATCAGCATTGGAAAGGTCTCCCTCGGGGGGTCCCGATGCTCCCTAGCATCTGAGAGCAACATTCGCCGCCTCTCTGCCCCGTAAGGAGATGCTAACGTGGAGATGGAATCTCTGTCTCCCACACACCGAGGGCTTAGGCTTGGTCCTTTGGCTCTTAAAGAAAATCGAGGCATAGACGTCCGATTTCAGTGCCCAGGGGAAGGATGTGGCTTCATAAAGGTCATAGCCACTTTTGGAGCCCTTCCAAGCAGAAGCAGTGGAAACTTAAAAGAGATGCTGTGTGGGGGGGATGCTTAGCCCAGCGTCGACAGAGAAGGGCGCACTCGGATACAGGAAAGCTGTGGTTTTCATTCACATTATTAGTGAATGTTAGTAATTATTAACGACTTATTAGTATCGTTAATTTCAGGGCAGTGAAAACTTACCTCAGCTTGGGTTTAGAGAGGAGGTTTTGATTTCTTTCCATTTGCTCCAGTTGAGTGGTTTGGAAAATGGGGCTCTTTCGTTTGGGACTGGTGTTGTCAGGTGTTTGTGGGGGAAACAATCGGCGGTTCAGTAAGTAACACCTGAGTAGGTCTGGGGCCCGAGAGGCGGTGGGCTATCCCTGTGCAGGGTGCCGCTCGGCCTCTTGGCTCTCCGCGAGGTCTCTGCAGACCCTGGGCGACCCGAGAGGCCAGCCGAAGCCTGGGGTACCAGGGCAGAGAGCCTGATGAGCTGTTTTGTTTCTTGCAGATCAGGAGCGACACTTCACAGATCTTGGAGGAAAGCATCCCGCTCCTTCAGGCCAAAGTGACAGAAATGCGTGGCATCTATGCCAAAGTGGACCAGCTAGAGGTGTGTCCGGGATCGTGAGCTTTCTTTGCGAGATCCGTGGGCTTGTTCTGGGTCTTTCATCCTCTCTTCTGAAATGCCAGTCTGGTCTCAAGCACATCAGGCGTTAGACCCAGTGCAGGGGGTTGGTGGCCAAAGAGGGGCTGTGCTTACATGGTATTTTATTTTATTTTTTTTTTAAGATTCTATTTATTTATTTGGCAGAGAGATAGCACAAGTAGGCAGAGAGGCAGGCAGAGGGAGAGGGAGAAGCAGGCTCCCCACTGAGCAGGGAGCCCGATGCGGGGGCTCAATCCCAGGACCCTGGTATATGACCTGAGCCGAAGGCAGCCGCTTAACCGACCGAGCCACCCAGGCGCCCCTTACGTGGTATTTTTAAAAATATGACAAACACGAATTTATATAAAGTACCCCACTTAAGAATTAGGGTACTTTTTTTTTTATAAGAATCTGACTTTTAAGCTGCTTTTGGAAATTCAGAAGCTTTAACAGCACTTAGCCCACATTTCTTTAAATACTTTAAATACTTTAATCCCAAGGTTTATTTCTCGAGGTATAAATACATGAAGTATACACATCGTAAGTGTATGGCTCAGTGAATTTTTACACACATCAACTCCCATATGAGGATGACCCAAATTGAGAAGTAGAACATTTCCAAGCCCTGGGCTGTGTTTTTGTAGAGCCAATGGCAGCTGCCCCACAGATGGGGCCCATGTCCTGCAGCTTACCACAGTCCCCACCATGCCCTGTTGCCTCATTGTTGACTCACTTCACCCACATCTTACTTGTGGGGGCCCCAGGCTAAGCCCAGGGTATCTCATTTTTCTCCTTGTTGAAGAGGAGTCGGCACCTCACTGTCCCATCTCCCACAGGAGGAGCATAAACTCAAGGAGGGAAGCCACTTTCCCGGGGTCCCACCACTCATGCCTCGAAGCTGGGACTTCGGCTGGCATCCGCTGGAGCCCAAGCTCTTCATCGTTTCTGGGGCCCTCAGCCTGGGGTCCTGGCTCCTTACACAGTGAAGAGCCCGGGAGGCTGGGAGGAGCTTGCCATTTAATCGCGGTTGCCTGGACAGAGGGGATGTGAGCCCCTCCGAGCCGTGGAGGAAAGGAGCGTGGCAGTCCACACTGGAGTAGGCAGAGAGTTAACATTCTTGTCAGGAGAGAATGAGGCAGGAATATAATTAAAACTTTGCCCTTGGAATAGCTGATTCATTTGAATTTTATTCCACACGTTTGACAGAGGAAAGAAAATGTGAGGATTTGAAGCCCCGGTTCTCGCCTCGTTGGGTTGGCCCAGCCCTTCCCGTGGCAGTCAGTCTGCTAATGCTGAGGGCCTACTGTGTGCCGCTGCGGGGCTCTCGCAGTGAGAGAGACCGGGGCTGTCCGAGGCCGTGTTCCAGCCGGAGAGACCCGGCCACAAAGCATTCCTATAACCGTAACAAATAGGCACAGACTTAGGGGCTTAACACAACACGGATCTGTATCTTACAACCCTCCTGAGGTTGGAAGTCCAAGATGTGTCTTACAGGCTAACACTGAGCTGTCAGCAGGGCTGGTTCCTTCGGGAGGCTCTGGGGAGCCTCTGGGTCCGGGCCTTGTCCACTTTCCAGAGGCTGCCTGCATTCCTCGGCTCATGGCTTCCACCCCACGCGTAGCTTCTTCCGGACTCTCTTTTACTCTGCCCCTCCTGCTTCCCTCTGACAAGGACCCTGTGATGACATGGGGCCCACCTGGATAATCCAGCATCACCTCCCCATTTCAGGATCTTTAATCCCATCCGCAAAGTCCCTCTGGCCCTAGAAGGTGATACGTTCATAGGTTCTGGGAGTGAGGACATGGACCTCTGTGGGGGCACATTTAGGTGCTCGGTGAGGACCACTACTCTTCTGGTCGTTGCTGCCACAGGCCGAGAAGGTGAGTCTGGCCGGGATGGCTGCTCGCCGCTCTGCCCAGCTGGCTGTGGACCCCGGGCCCTTCCAGGGAGCTCAGGACCACCCTCAGGTCAGTGCCACCTGCCAGGAGGGGCTTGGGGACCACAGGGTGACCACTCGGGCAGGCACTTGGGCCTTTCTCAGTTTTAGTATTAAAAACGAATCCATACAGGGCAGCTGCTATGAGCCAGGGACTCGAAGTGCTTTCCTGATAAGAAGGCGCTCCACCCGCCACAGCCCCGGGAGGAAGGTCCCGCTTTGGGTCCCCTTTGGCAGAGGAAGCAGGGAGGCACAGAGAGGTGAGGTGACTTGCCCACGGCCACACAGCTGGGTGATGGTAGAGCTGGGGTGGCGGACGTCTGCTCCTGACCGCTCCTCAGTGCCCAGTGTTGGCTCTCCTGCCTGGACAGCGCCCTGGTCTGAAGCGGGGGGCCTTTTGCCAGAAGTGTTCACTCCCGTCAGTACTTACCAGTATGTTTGGGAACAAGGGGGCTCTCCTCTCTCCTCCCTGTCTTCCTTCCCTCCCTCCTGGGTAATAAAAGTCGCACAGTTTCATCGTAGAAAAGACGAGGTAGGTAGGAGTCCCCCCTACTCCCAAGGCGCGGCCACCAGCGCGACAGAGGAGGTGGCCCTCCCGCTGTCCCCCCAGCAGACTGGTGCTAGCGCGGGGAGGGCGGGGACCGTGGGACCCTCTGCTGCATTTCACAAGCAGATGTGCCTCTGCTGGGGGGCAGCTCCCTGGCCCCGTGGCCTCTTGTCTCCCGTCCCCCCAAATCTCGTGTGGCTCATTGGACCTTTCAGCTCTGCCCCTGCCAGAATCCTGGGGCGGCAGCGGTGCAACCGCATCTTTTTGCTCGGGCTGCACTCGTTCGCGTGCTCACGTCCGCGCCCTCCATCCAGCGGAGCCCCTGCGGGCCGGCCGGGCTCTGCTGTTGGCTTCGTGACCACCACGGACTCCGCACCTCAGCTTTTAGGACCTACATTCTGGAGGCAGACGGATTGTGAATAAGCAGACAGGAGGTTCGGAGGCTGAGGAGGGCTAAAGAAGACAGGGAAACCAGGGGTCGCCACAGTGCCGGGGGCTGTGGTCGACGAGGCAGTGAGGGAAGGCCTGTCTGTGGAGGGCCTGAGAGATGGGCAGCGTGCACCCCGTCAAGGACAGAGAGCAGGACCCGGCCTGGAGAGAGCAGGGGGAAGGGCCCTGTGGTGAGTGGGGCCTGCGTTTTCAGGGAACCCAAGGGAGGCCGGTGTGGGAGGATGAGCGGGCAGGGCTGGGGATGGTGGGCTCCTTGTAGGGCCTCGGCGCGGGTGGGGGTGGCCATGAGCTTCCTTCTAGTGAAGGGAGGCTCCCTCGTAGGGCGCAGCCCTGAGATGTCCTCCTTCCTCTTCCTGGTGAGAGAAGCTCTCTTCCAGTCCACTGTGGGAACAAGGCAGGTCCACAGAGGTGAGGCTTTTGTGACATGGCTCTGGCGTCGCCACCTTCAGTGGCCTTAGCCATGTACGCATGCAACATACAAACACGTTCACACGCGTGACCATGCGCACACACTTAAATACATGCGCACGCAGACACACACATGAACACACGCATGAACACGTACACGCATGAACACAGGCACTCACGTGTGCTCACTGTAGGAGAAGGCATGAAGAGATACCACAAAAAGGAGGCAGATGGGTGGGCTGAATTTTTCTGGGCCTACACAGTGTTATTTTTTTTTTAATTGTGAATTTATTGCTAACATTGATAAAAACCGGAGACTTTTCATAACATCTACAGGTTGGTTTGTTTTTTTTTTTTTTTTTTCAAAATGATACCTGACATTTATCGAGGTCGATATGTGCTAAGCACTTAACTGCTTAGCGAGGTTGGTATTATTTGTATTCAGTATAGTAGTATCATCATTATTATCATCTAATGGGTAAGAAAATTGAGGCTTGTGGAAATTAAGTAAGTTGCCAGAAAGCACACAACTAGTAAGTGGCGGAACCTGGATTCTAATCCACAGAGTCTGAGACCCCCGAGTGTTCTCTCCCTCTTCTCTCTCTCTCTCTCTCTCTCTCTCTCTCTCTCTCTCTCTCTCTCTTTTTTGCACCTGGGAATTTTGTATCAGAGGCCTGGAGCGGAGTGGCCCCCGTAGGCTTGGACCCAGCTTTCTGGGCCATCCCGGCCTCCACTCAGCCCTCCTTCACCTGCTGGTCACCTGCCTGCCCCTTAGCAGCCTCTGAGTTTGAGACTCTCCGCTATCCCCATCAACCATGAAAGTGAGCATTTTGGCAATTTCTAAAGAGCTCATTTTTAATAAAGAAGGCTCTGCAGTCTGATGGATATGCACCTGACCCCTCTCACGGCCACTTGCTGGCTGAATGACTTTGGTCAGGCGACTCGACCCCTCTGAGCCTCAGTGTCCCTACTCTGTAAAACAGAGGCTAAAACTAGGGTCCCCGTGGGGAGAAGGTGAGAGGACACGGTAGACATCTGGCCAGGCCCCCTGGGGAGCCATTACTGTTACGGTCAGGGTGTCTGAGGATGTCCCTGCTGAGCAGGCCCCGTGTGACCTCCCTGGGAGCACACACGGTGGCCAACCCCTCTCCGCAGGCTGGAGCAGCGCAGCCAGGACTGTGCTCCAGTCCAGGGCGGATGTGGCATCCCCGGCTCTCCCTTCTCTCCGCCAGGCCTTCGTCAAGATGGTTGGGCACCACGTCTCCTTCCTGGAGGCCCACGTGCTTCAGGCCGAGCGGGACCACGGGGCCTTCCCGCAGGCTCTGCGGAGGTGGCTGGGCTCCGCGGGGCTTCCCTCCTTCAGGAATGTGAGTATCTCCCCACCGCCTGCCTCCTCCCCAGACCCCAGAGTGGGGAGAGGGGCTCAGGAAGTGAGAGTTCAAAGGGCATGTCTCACTTCCACAGACAGGAAATGGCGTCTGGCTGGCTGGCTGAGGGACTGCTGGCCCAGGGGGGCTGGAGTGTCTCCGTCCCTCCCTTGGGCGCCTCTTCTTGCCCTGAGCTTTGAGCTTCGGTGCTGTGACCGCCTGCTTATTCATCCACCATTTATTGAGTGCCTGCGGCATGCTGAGCACTATGGTCCTTCCGGGGTTACCGCAGTGAGCAGGGACAGCCGCTGCCCTCCTGTCCTGTCCCTGTACCACCTAAGGACGTGCTCAGGGCGACATTCAGAACTCAGGGTGGGTCCTCCTTCTGAAGGCACACGTCAGCCTCCAGCCGACCGGAGGGGCTGGGGATGGTGCAGGGCCAGCCTGCACGTGGCCCTTTTTAACTTGCAAAGGCCTCTTCCCTCCACATCGCTGCTTCCCTGGGATCCTCCCTACAACCCCAGAGAAACCATCATTGTATCCGTTTTGCTGATGGGAAGACTGAGGCCAGACTGATTCTGCAGTGGAGACCTTCAGTGTTTAAGGCACATCTGTCTTTGCAGCTTGTTATCTGCTGGTCCCCTAGTGCAGGGGACCCTGGGCAATGTCGAGATATTTTGGTTGTGCGCTGGATGTGAGGGGGGCTGTTGGCATCTAGTGGGTAGAAACCAGGGGTGATGGGGCCCCTCGGTGGCTCAAGTCAGTTAAGCGTCTGCCTTCAGCTCAGGCCATGATCTCAGGGTCCCGGGATCCAGTCCTGCGTCTGGCTCCCTGCTCAGCAGGGAGTCTGCTTCTCCCTATATGCACACTCTCATTCTCTCTCAAATAAATAAATAAATAAATAAGTCTTTTTAAAAAAAGAAAGCAGGGGTGCTGTTACACACTCTGCAATGTACAGGACAGCCCCCCACGACAGAGGATTCTTTAGCTCTGCACACGAGTAGTTCCGAGGCTGAGAGGCCCCGCCCAAGGCTGCGTTCGGTCATTTAACAGTGGTTCCTGTCAGGTCTGTTTCCAAGCGCTCCGTCTGCTGGTTTCTGTGGTACCTTGTTCTCACACCAATCTCTGGAGGAAGGATCTTTATCACCGCCCCCACTTTACAGATGGGGAGACTGAGGCTCTGGGAGGTAAAGGGACTTGTGGGAGGCCACACAGCCTGGTGTGATAAGGCAGGGTTGGACCCTTCACAGCTTAGCCAGCTGCCCTGTCCTGCCCCTCAGCAGGGTCTCTCATTGTTCCTGGGGTCTGCCTGGGGGTCCCCCCTCTGCTCCTCCAACCCTCTGCCTGCCCGCGCATCTCCACTTGGTTGACTGTGTTCCAGGCGCTGCACCAGGCACTTGGTGTGTGTGGACTCATTTACCTTTCCCAGCAGTCATGTGTGCTGGGCATCAGCATGATTCCTATTTGGTAGGAGACGCAATGGAAGTTTGGAAGGTTTCGGTGGTTGTGGTCTTGCAGCCCACGGACAGCATTTAGCTGGTGTACTCGTTCTATTTGGTCAGGCAATGTTATTTCAACGGTGTGACTTGGGATGCCTGACTGGGCTTCCCTGTCCAGTCCCTGCCAGGACCCCGTTGCTCCGTCTTGTCTTACACCTGCCCGAGGCATGTGCTACTCACTTACCTGCCACCTGGTGAGTCCCTTGCCCAAGGCCAGTAACAGCTAGACAGTGGCCTCACACATCTCATGGTCTCGAAACTCCTATTGATCCTTCAGAACCGAAGTTAATGCCGCCTCCTCTGAGAAGCCCTCGGGGATTGCCCCATCTCCGGACAAATGCAATCTCTCTGCCTTCCAACAATGATGAAGTCAGGAGCTGCTTCTCTGTCCTCCTCTCCCTTGAGCTATGGTGACCGTTCCTTGGTAAACAGGAAACCCTCCCCCCTCCCCCCACCACCAGTCACACAGTGCTGATGGTTTAGAAGCACATCGAGAGGAAAATCAGAGGACCTTGGCTGCCCATGGCCTCCAGCAAGTCTCCTAACACGGGGGCCTGTTGGGCCCTTGGTCTTTGCACTTTCCAATCTTTTTCTGCGATCTGCAGTTGCCCCCATGTGGTTGGCACTAGTGTCCCCATTTAGAGGCAGAGACTACTAAAGCTGAGAGACAGATGTATCTGAGCTCAGTGCTGGGTTTGCAACTCAGGCCTGCAGGCCTCTGAAACTGGGGTTCCCCTGCCCACTCCTGGAGCGGGATCCCACATGGGTGTGGCTGGGCATGCTGGGACCTGCACTCTCTCATTTCTACCAGACTGCAGGAGGTAGGGCCCCCCCTAGGCCCACCTGTGGTGACTTGTTCCAGGAAGTGCATTCCAGCCAGGGGTGGTGAGTCACTCAGCGACCCAGCATGTTAAACTTGGCCCCAGGAGGGCTTTGTCTGGGGCAGGTGGTGCCCGTCAGTGTGTGCACGCGCGTGTGTGTGCAGACCCAAAGATGTCCAGGGCTGTACCTGCACTGAGGGTGTGAGCTGGAGGAGCCCTTCTAGAATAATGATCGTCACAGCTTGTGGTGGGGCCCTGACTCTGCAGGCACCAGACATCCCCACCCTGTGAGGTAGGTCCAGTCATTGTCCTGATTTTACAGAGGAGGAAACTGAGGCACCACAGAGTCGAATTGCTTGCTTACCCAAAAAATCGTGAAGCCGGGATTCAGATCTGTGAGTGAGGCCTGGGTTCAGGGCCGGTAACCTGCACCACTTGGCCCTGCACCCTCGCTGTGCCCAGTTCTGCCCCTGGGACCACTTTCTGGGAGATGGGGGTTCTCCTAGAGTGCAGGGGTAGATTCCCCCAAAGCCAGGATTCCACACTGGCTCCAGCCAGTTCCTCTCAGTGAGTCCACAATAGGCCTTCCTCCCCTCCAACAGTGCGAAGCCCCCACCCCCAGCCCCAGATTCCATCTCCTGCCCTTACCCACCCTCTTCAGACTCCCTCCGAGGGTCCCCGAGGTCCCCATGGAGTGAAGGGTGGGGCAGGGGTTTCGGGGCTCTCTTGGCCCCGTGGGAATGCTGGCAAGGGATCTTGTCCCTGTAGGGTGAGCTGTAGCACTCCCCCGAAAGCCCACCACCCATCACTGTGCCCCCATGACCCTTCCACAGTCAGGGGAGGGCTGGGGACCCTCTTGTGGGGCCCAGGAGGGAGGGCCCTCAGCTTTCACCCCTGGAGCTGGGCAGGGGCCTTTTGGGGTATGTTTTTCCCCCCTCCTGCTAGCCCATGAGCTGAAGCAGGAGAGTTCCTGGGGAGGGCGGGGGGTGGGGCACGGAGAGAAAACTGGTCCTTGTTTTTATTAACTTGGCCAGCCCCTCTTCCCTCCTTCCTGCCCTCCTCCTCCTCCCTCCTCCCTCACTTTGCAGAGGTAGTGGGAGGTCCAGGGAGGGTGCAGGGCAGCTGGGCCGGGGTCTCCCCGCACCCCAGGAACAGGGCCAAGAAGTAGTCCGTCCACCCCTGCGCCCAGCACCAGGGGCCTGGACCGGCGCCTGCCCATGTGGCGGTGCCGGTTGTGGCCTGAGCTGACCTGACAGGGCCTGGGGGTGCCAGCCCGAGGATATACGACCTCCTCACGAGCTCCCCTGAAACCCAGGCCTTTTCCTCTGATCTGAGCTGCCAGAGAAGCAGGCAGGCAGTCGGTCCACAGGCTGAGATGAGGGCTGGCCTGGTACCCCCAGCCCTCTGTGCCCAGGTACAAGAATGTACGTGGTCCGTGCCATGAGTTTAATGCTGATGCATGTGTATTTATGGGACAGTGGTCTCTACCTTCATGCTGTACCATGTAAAAGTTTCCCGTTATACTTTTATATTGTTTTTTACGGTGTTGCAAGATTTTTAACTTGAGGCTTTAAGCATTAGACTTCTCTCTCACTGTAGCTGGGCCCCATCTCCGGCATGTTTTAGCTGTGTGTCCGTGGGCAGGTCCCTTAGCCTCTGTGGGCCTCAGGCCGCTCAGCTCTTGGTTCACGGGCAGCAGCATGACCAGGGAAGCTCAGCTTGACGGGAAACGGGTTTGGGGTTTGATGCAAAGTGACGAGGAGTAGTGGTGGGGAGAGAAAGACTCCAGAACTCTCCGAAGGACGGTTCTGATGATGAGCTTCGGCCGATCCGAAAAGCCAGCTTTGCCTGGAAATGAACGGAGGGACCCAGGACAGACTGTCCATTCGTTCAGTGGTCCGCAGGTATCGTGGCGATGGTGACACAGGGCCAGCCCTGCGGCGGCACCCACCGTTCGCAGCTGGTCAGCGCCCCAGACGGTGGGGGGAGGGCTGCCGCTTATATCCCCTTTGCACAGGCGAGCAAACTAAGGCACAGAGAGGTGAAGTAACTTACCCAGGGTTACACAGCTGGGCATCAGGATATGAACCTGCTTTCTCAACTCTGCCCTCCGTTGCCTTGGGAGAGAGCTGCGATCTCTTCCCCCAGAAAGCTTGTGTCTAGTGGAAGAATACAGGCAGTGACCAAATCCTAAGAAAATTCAGTACATAGTCATTTCAGAAGGGGACCCTGGCTTGCTCTGAGGGAGCCAAAGATGGCCTCTGAGGAAGGGCCCGGTTCGCTGGGGCCTGGATGATGAGGAAGTCAGTGTGAAGTTAGGAGAAAGGGTGCACAGAGGCCCTGAGGGGGGATGGGGGACGGCACGCGCGGCGGAGCAATGGCAGGATGTGCAGTGTGGCTTGGCCCAGTGAACAAAGGGGAGAGTTGGAGGACATGGGGTCACGGCCAGGTTAGGCAGGGTCTCGGGCCACACACAGGTGTTTAACACAATTTTGAGGGCAATGGGGAGCCATGGAAGGGTTCATAGCGGGGGAGTGACGTGGTAAGTCCGTTCCGCTTGGAGAACCGCCAGGCTCCTTCTCTTCCCTGAGCTTTGGCTGGCATCCAGGGTCGGCTGCGCCGTGTTGAGACCTGAGCAGTGTCGTGTGAGAACCGAGTGGGGTGAGTGGTACCCTCCAAG